TAGTATAGGAAAAATTGGGGTTACGTTGGCATCGTAGTTTGTAAATAAAATTTGAGTTTACAACTCATTTTATCATTACTAATTGCACTAAATTAGTAAAAAATAAGAACTTGCAGCCCATTTTTCTGTCGAGTAGGAGTTCCCAAACCCCATTCATTATTAACAATTTCTTCTTTTCTTTTTTAATGTTGGACGGCAAATATTGACGGTTTCATAAACGTGTTCCAAGTTGAATGTTGAACTAAATAAAAATGGATGCAAATACAACATGTGTCACCTAGAAATGTGACACAAATCAAATAGAAAAACTTACAAATATATGTGCTGATTATTAGTTTCAATTTAAGATCATTACGTATTTACGTAGTATATTGTTGATAATTTATGGTTTGCTTTTGTTTAGGTTGCTGATTTTGGACGGGCTAAACTCTCATCCGACAACAACAGTCAACACTCATGTCTCCACACGTATCATGGGAACATTTGGGTAAATATAATATATAAAGCAAAGTTGGTTAAGTCAACTTCTGTTTATGGCGTCGTTATTTATTTATAAATTAAAAACAAAATCACTAACACAATAACACGTACAAGAAACTAACATTATCAATTTCAGTTATAAACTATCAGCTTTAAAAAAAGTAGCATGGTTTGTACGGGACATAAGTTTTTTCTTAAAAGAGGGGAAAATGCAAGAAAACAATCAAAACACATTAACGTAGCAACTAGAAACTTAGAGTGATAAATAGACTGATTTGGTAACTGTAAGATTGGTTGAATCGACTAAATCTGTTGAAATGGATGAAATTCTAAATGAAACGACTAATCAAATTGATTGGATCGACATAATTGTGAAAAATTATGTATAATATATACGTAGTACTCCGTATATGTTGATATTTTTTAAAAAAGTAGATGAAAGAATAGCTAAAATAGGCATGTTCAGTGATTTCAGTCACAATTTATAATGAAAACTTACTTATTTTGATTATTACACAATTCTAACACAGAATCAAATATTACGTGGTAAAGAAACCGTTTGATTAGACTAAGAGCATCTCCATTCATAATCTTAAAATAAATGGTTTTTCTATTACACATCATTGCCACATCACATTTATTCAATATTTTAAATAATACTCCGTATCAAATCTTAAAACTCTTCATCAACCATGAATCCATGATACTCAAATAATTAGTTTTTCTAGACCATGCATTAAATGCAATTTAACTACAACCTAAAATAATCTGGGATCCAAATCTTGATATCAGATTTTCTTTTTCAATAATCTCTCTAAATAATCCCTTAATGACATTGATAATCTTTCAAATAATCTTCCACATCATCCAACTAAATCTTAAATAATCTAATGGATGAGGGTGCTCTAATAAATCAAAAAATGACTTTCCAAATTGATCTCACTCTTAAACTAAAGATTTAGAAACTTAGAATGATACGTATGTAGTACGTGTATGTATTCTAAAATTAGAATGATAATAAGTTCTTAGTTAATTAATTAGTTGAACTTCTTTATTCCTTAACTCTCCTTAAACTTATCAAATGTATTTGGTTTAATTTAATCAGATACCTTGCTCCAGAGTATGCATCAAGTGGCAAATTAACCGAAAAATCTGATGCATACTCTTATCGAGTAATGCTCTTGTGGAACTCATAACCGGAAGACGTCCGGTTGATCTAAGCAATGATGATGAGGATAGCCTTGTAGATTGGGTATGTAACTTTATTTTTCTCTCAATTATTCCACATTATTAAGCACTGACAATATCATAAAATATTATTCCGTTATATGTTATAACATGATACCGTCTTTCAAGTTATAACATGTGCCAATCCATGATAAATAATCTTTTCCTAGTGAATAAGTAAGCCACATTTTTTAGTAAAAACAAAAAAGAAACTTTCTACTTGTGCACATAATGCTTTACTTCCTTTTGCAAGAATGTCGCGATTCCATTCATGACTCGAAACTTCAATTACTTCTGGTTGATTTGGTCAAATATAAAGAAACTTAATAACTCAATAAAGAAGTTCATAAAAAGAAATAGAAATAATTATCCCCATATGACTAAAACACTTTCACTTCCCCAATCTATGACCAAACTAGTTTTTTTCTCAGAATATTACCTAAATTTGTATTATTTAATTAAAATTCATAATTAATAAATAATTAAATTATTTCTATGGACAAATATACCTGTTGAGGTTTAATCCCGAAGATCCGAAAGCCCAACACACGCTTTGGATATTTAAGAATGTTAGGTTGGTTTGGAAAGTGTATAAAATATAAAATAGTGAAATATTACTCAACTCAGAAGCTAACTTGTATTCAGTAATGCTGCGATTACACTGGACTACCCGAACGGTAGGTAAGTACAAGAATACAAGGATAAGAGAGATAATTCTAACTGCTAAGCTCTGAGTATTAAAATGCTCACCTTTTACAATATATTCAATGCAGGTATTTATACTAGAGTGGAGATGTGTAACATGGACATGCCTCCACTTGCTGATGTCATGCTTTAGCATTAAATGCGGCTTCCACTTGCTGACTACCCATTCGGGTAGGGCGTTCGGTGTGTGGGACTCCGCCATGGGTGTTTAGGTGTCAGTGTTTTCCTGAAATACTCCAAGTAGTAGAACTGTGCCGAATGCCGATCGACGGGTCTGGACTGCTTTGGGCCCTATGTTTCCTCCTGGCCCGCCCCACACTTTGGGCCGGGTGTATTGGGCCTGGACCCAATATCCCAACAATACCCCGTATGTTATATCTATAAAACCCTAAGTTCCTACCCTTTTTCTCCAACCCTAGCAACTAGACGCAAAAGATCTCTGGCTTCCTGCGCTCCCCGCACGCCTTGCTGCCGCCGGCTCACCGTCCGCCGGCTCACCTTCCGCCGCCGTCCAATAGCACGGCTGCCGCCACCAGTCCCTCTACTCGCAGGCATCGCCAAAAATCGACCTCGCAGCACGCAATCTCCATCTTTAGACCCGCGTGTCGCTGCCGTCCCAAACCATCAGCGTCGTCGTCGTCCCGATCCCTGTTCGCCAACACTGTCTCAGACCCCTCCTTGTCGCTGCCAAACCAGTCCCCTCCATGGTCGCTGCCAATCACACTCCAAGTCGCTGCCGCTAAGCTGTGCCCCTCCGCCGCTCCAAGAACTCAAATTCTTCAGTCAAGGCGGCTGATCGAAGTTGATGGCGGACCGAGGTTGAAGACGAACCCTAGGTTGAAGACGATGAAAGAAAATGTGTCGTGAATAATTTATATTTAATGCTATGAACATCACATGAAGTGCAATGAGTTATGGCACAAAGTGCAATGATATGGCAAGAAGTGCAATAATGTAAAACATGCAATGACATGAAAAGAAGTGCATTAAAAATGACATGAAAAAAGTCTATAAATTCGTAGCATTTTATGTAATATTGTGTTATAACTCCATCATGAAGTGCATTATATTTAACTAGATCTAAAAACTAAAATTATGAAATCTAAACAATGCTAATATCATAACATTTTTGTTATGTAGTGCAGTGAATATCGCCATAAAGTGCAATAAATGTAGTGCAATGACCACTTCATAAATTGCATTATTTTTATCCGGACGAAATTAGTGTAAAATGCATATTTAAAAAAAAAGTATTTCTGTCCTTCCACAATTTAATATAACGAAAATATCTTCTTTTGTTTCAATTTTTGGTCATATTTCGGGAAGAAAACATAACTACTCACATTTCGAGAAACTCACTTTGTTTTAGTAATATCCGGGAATTTTTTTCAATAGAAATAGTATGTTGAATTGTTGATAGTCTTCGTATTTACAGAAGCATACACTCTATACTACGTATATGTTAGTCATGTACAGATAAAACTTAAATTTCCTTTTGTGTGTTATGGTATATATAACCTGATCCACAAAAATATGTACACATTCAGTTAAAAATTGCCTAGAGGAGTAAACATAAGGTGATTCATTCAATGAAAGAGTAGGGGTGTTTGGATCTACTTTTCAAAAACTGTTTCTGCTTTTTCAGGGAGTAGAAGCAGATATTAAAGTGTTTTGGTGAAAGTGCATTAATACTACATACTTGTTAAGTGCTCCAAATTACTCCTTGAAACAATTTTTAGAATCTGGGTATCAACTTCTAAAAAACTGATTGTCATTCTAGTGAGATCATAATAAGTTAGAATCATAGTTTTAATTATTGTTGTACTGAGATTATGCAATTTTCACAATATAACCATATGATTTCATCATTGTAATGGTTTACTCTTACACATCAAAATTTCTGATATTTTCAAGAGAAAGAGAAAATTCCCTAAAGAAGATTAAATCAAAGATAAAATTCATAAATAAAACTATCAATGTTTTGTTACCAAAATATGATTCATACACTCTTATTTTGGGAAGTTTTCATCAAACTATTCTCTAATATGACTAAATTAGTCATATTTGGAGAATAAAACATACTTAACCTTATTTTTGAACTTTGTGTATCGTTTAATTTTATATTAAGCAATTTCTATTTGAAAACATGTCTTTAATCGTGTTTTGTTTTGGGGTGAGTTCAGGCAAGGCCAATCCTAATGCGGGCAACATAGGGAGGAAGCTATGAAGAGCTGGTGGATCCACGGCTAGAAAACAACTACGACCCGCAATAGACGAGCCGCATGGTGGCGTGCGCCGGCGCCAGTATCCGACGGCAGCTCCGAGTACGACAGGAACCCGTACGCCATGAAGAAGTTCAGAAAGTCGGTGTCCAGCCAGGAGTTCAGCAGTGGTGAGCACGGGATGACATATGAATTTGTACATCCAAGAATCTAGCCACCTAATTTAATTAATTAATGGTACTTTCTATGGTGCCCATATTCTTTTCTAGGGTACCGTGCCTTGCTTATGTGGCCAAATAAACATTTGACATGTGGATAATGAATATAATGACCGAGATTTCTATTCATGAAACAAATTTGCACTTGGGTCCTTGTGTGATAGACGGGAATTTTCAACGTTAACGGAGGTTTCTTCTTCCGTTTCTGCTCTCTACCAAATCCAGAAGTCTGGCCCCTCTTCTGCTATCCACCGCAACCCTACGACAGCTTCTTCTCTCCATCACAACCGAGACAGTGCTGTTGCCTTCGCTCCCTGGCTGCGGGTGCATAACCGCGGAAGAGGTACTTAGCCCAACCTATTGAGATTTTCGAGCATGGGAAGGTTTCTCTTTGAGCATATTCTTTCAAATTCGGCATGTACTTGATAAACATGTACTGGGATTTTCATTGGGAGATTTTTTCTTCAAATCTAATTTAGGGATTCTCTTGATAACTGGAGGGATTTTCTTACAAGCAGTTGTTCTCATAGCTCATTAGGCCAAATAAGCTGTTTTCTGTTTCAAATAAGCATTTTTTTCTTCTGGTTTTGCTTATTTTCTGTTTTGGCAGCAAGAATTTTTTTTCTGGTTTTGCTAATTGATAAGGTTATTGCTTGATAAACAAAATCTAACATTTGGTTTCTAGAATTACTTCCAAATAGTCCAGCTATGCCATCGTGGTGTTAAAACATTCCAAAATTACAGTTGCTCTTATTTTAATGTGTAATTTCTCATCCTTGCTAGTTAGCTCTCTCTCTCTTTATATAAAATTAATAATTTGTGTTCATAAAAGTGCAAATTGAAAATGTAGTGCACCCCATCCATCCCAAATTATAGGTCAAATTTAATTTAAGAATGGTATTCATTGAGAGAGAAAAGTTAAAAGGAAAACCTTTAAATGTAATGCTATCTCACAAATTTCTAATTGTTTTATCAGAAATATGTTATTAATAAACAAATATTCAGTAGTTTGTGGTGTTAGCTATCAATTAGTCCAGTAACTGTTAGTATGTATTTTAGTATGGTTTAATTCATCTGATATAAAAAGCAAAAAAAAAAAAACTTGAAGTTTTAACCTATTAGGCTGTTATATTAGGTTAGCAACACAGAAAAACTTGGTGTTTTTAACCAACACGGATAGAATACATAACTGTCAACAAGTAAATATTTTGAAGACTTTGAGTATTAAATCTAAAAACAGTGAGTGAGATTTTTACTCAGTCACTTGATTATACTCAAAGACTCCAGACTTGGTGTTTCCGTGTTTGTGAAGTCTTTGAGTTCTTTTAAAAGTTTTTTAAAAAGTTAGTTGGAATCCTAATACCAGATATTCCTTTTTCAAGACTTTGAGGGTTTGAAAAAAAATGTGAAGCTCTTTCTTTCGGATAGATCAGAAGGAATAGTTTTGTACCTAGAATGGGAAAAATAAAAAGCTTAAAAATGTGTGGAAAGCCTGTACGAGATGGAGATGTTTTCAAACAGAAACCTGACCAAAATGTATGTTTTAATGAACAAATGTTGGTAACAATTCATATAGAGAGACTGTGACTTTGCCATGGAGTGTGTTGAAAAGGAGCTTATACATGCCAGCTGTTGTTGCATCTCCCAGCCTTTGAAGAATTACATAAATGCATACCTTTGGCAAAGATATTCGGAATACATGTTATTTCCTCCATTGTTTGGATTTTTATTTCTCTTTATAGACTTTTGTAGTCTATGACTCTATAAATGACTTATGTAGAATTAAAGACTAAGGAATCCATAAGTATGTACGATTTGAAACCAGGCAAAGCAGGCAGCTTTCCACTAAAACTGTTATGGGTAAGGCTCAAGCTACCACCTCATTTGATGAGTCTGGCTCGAGCATTGGGAATCAATTGCACAAAACGCTTTCTAGCGTGAGAGTTTCTGCAAGATGTGGGGAGGATCTAAATGAAGGTCTTGTAATAATAACCAATGGTTCAAGTCTATCCTCAGAGCAGGCTTAAGTTCCTGGAGATTTTGTGCCTATTGAGGATAAAAGAAGGAAGAGTCCTGTTTCAAGGTTTCTGAAAGATTTATTGGCCAATGCAAGTAATGATGTCCCTGAAAAGATGGTAAGGGCTCCTGATACTAGTAGTAGTGGTCCAGTAGCTAAAGAAGATTATGAAGACGGGTGTAGCATTACTGAGATTGTTGACATTTTTAAATTTGATGATTCTGCTTCCAATTATACCGCTGATGTTCTGGAAATCTTTGTGGTTAAGAGGTCCGACGGGAAAGAGGTGATGGCCAGCTAGGGGTTTCTAAAGGAGAACTATAATTCCCTGTGTTGATTGACTTCTATGAGAAACTTCTTCGGGAGTTCATAACGGTGCGATCTTGATGAGTTTAGTGGCTGGGAAATGGCGGGGAGTGGGTATGATGCAATAGGTTTGGCTTGAGAATACATGAGTTATTACATATCAGTAGCCTTTGTCTATGTAGAGATGTACTAAAGTTGTTGTACTACTGCTTTGTAGTAGGAAGCTCTAATGTAGTAGTAATGTGAGATGAGTTGAGTTATGGGTCTTTCTGGGAATTATACTCCGTATTAGATAATAGGGATGGACAGTACAAATGTACAATTCACATTGTTGATTGAGGCAGAAGCAGACCACAGACAATTTCTTTATTGTGAATTTTGTTTATTCTAATTTAGTAGTTAGTAACTTGTTTGAACTTTTTATATATTTAGCCATTTTTAAAAAGGAATATTTGTTATATACACGATTACACTTCATTTCTATTACGGTATTTGACTTTTAAATTTTCACTTTTAAAAAAAAAAAGATAGCCCCCCTACAAAAAGAGAATTAGTCAAAAATATATAAAAGAAAATAGCCTTAAATAGGATTAAAGTAAGACCTAAATGCATAAATAAGATAATTTGGGGAATTCCCCCAAATATTATAGATAGTATATTGGTTTAGTATTTTATTGGAAAATAGCCCTAAATATTACTTACAAAAAGTTTATGGACAAAAATGTGACCATATAGGTTACTATGACTAAGTTTTATAGTCACTACAATATACTATTTGAATATAAATATAGTAACTAAATTTACTAGAATCACATTTTATTTCACTACTTTTATTTTGGTTATATATTTGGAATTATTTCTAATAATTAAAATACTAATAATCCAGATTTCTTTTCGCTAGTGTAAGGCTGTGCTAATATTTTAATAATATTCATAATATTTTCCATAATATTATAATTAAATCTTTTAACAATTTTTTTGACGGTTTAAGCTTTAATAATAATAGTAATTTTATGAATAATAAAAAGTAATAACAAGATTAAATAATAATAATAATAATAATAATAATAATAATAATAATAATAATAATAATAATAATAACAAGATTAAATAATAATAATAATAATAATAATAATAATAATAATAATAATAATAATAATAATAATAATAATAATAATAATAATAATAATAATAATAATAATAATAATAATAATAATAATAATAATAATAATAATAAGTGACAATGTATGTATACTTATTTGGTACCTTAATTTCCCTCCAATGAAAAATTCTTTCACATACAAAATGATGTATTTAATTATGTTGATTTTAAATTTAGATCCGACCCCGAGTTAGAAAGTAGTAAAACATACATACACCACACGTCTACCTGACTATATTACACCAAATCATATTGGGAAAACTGTCAAATAGGTCCTCGAAATTTCATAAAAAGGTCAAATAAGTCCTTATATAGGAGGTTATGTCCGGCCTTCACGATTTGGGGTGGTTCCCGGTGGAATTTTTTTATGACAATTTTTGAGCATCTTATTCATCAAGTCTAGTTTACTCATACTAAATTTCAGCTAAAACTTCAATCGGGAACACATTCAAATTAATTCTCGAAGTTAACTGCGCATTTAACTGCACATTTATCTTCAAGAATTAGTTTGAATGTGTTCCCGATTGAAGTTTTAGCTGAAATTTGGTATGAGTAAACTAGACTAGATGAATAAGATGCTAAAAAATGTTCATCAAAAAATTCCACCGAGAACCGCCCCAAATCGCGACGGCCGGACATAGCCTCCTATATAAGGACTTATTCGACCTTTTTATGAAAGTTTGAGGAACTATTGGACAGTTTTCCCAATCATATTTAAACAAACTAGGTCAGACAATAATAGTATAACCTATTTATTGAATTATTAAATACATAGTAATGATTTTAAAAATAAATAGAATACTCGTTTGGATAAAAGTACTATATTAATTTTGATTAAAACATAAATTCACCCTAAACGTAGAACCTCATCAATTGAAGTATATTAGAAGACAACGTTTTGAACAATTATGTAAATTATAATCTAAAATCAAAAAATTATTGACATATGTTTGAAGAAAAAATTACACAAATATAACCACTCTAAACCCCACTAAAAAAAATATGACTTCATACCCTGTTTTACTCCCATGTTGTAGAACGTGTTCTTTATCAATAGTTAGTTTTTTGTAACTCCAAATAATATTAGTAATATTTGTGTAAAAAACTCATGTTTGAAAGACCTAAGTTTTTGAATAATATATTCAACCCACTTATCTTTATGTTAATATGAGGAAATAATTAAATGTACATATATCTCTTATAAAACTAAAAACAAGCAAAATAAAATGTTTGGCGAATTTAGACGCCCTTGAGGTCCGATTAAGCGCTCTGGGCGAGCAACTAGGCACCCTAGGTGTTTGTTTTATATAATTGTGTGTGTGTGTAAGATTAAGATTAGTAGACTTATTGCTAAACACCAAATCACATTAAAGATAATTTGCTAAACACCAATCACATGAAATCTTACACTAGTGGTGTGAAGTAAGTTACTTGATTGTACACACACAAATAAACACACACACACATTGTATTTATATAATATGTATTGGTTATATATGTGGATTAGTTGTTACTACGGTACTACCACAATATAATATCTATATGTATTGTATACAACGAAAGCGGGGATGGTATAGGCTTGGACCCGGTTCAGGCCACCCGGCCCGGCAACCTGCCCGTCCCGGTACTGTGCGGGCCCGGCCCGGCCCGGCTCGGGAACCGGGTACCGGTTCCGGGTCTAGGCCCAGTTTAGGGGGGAGGGGGTAACCGGGGCGGGTACGGGTCTGGGATATATGGAACCGGCCCGGCCGGTTCCGGGCCCGATTCGGGCTTTATTCTTTTTTTTTTTATTTTTTTTAACTTTCCGGGTTGGGCTGGGTATTTTGGTGCATTTGGGCTGGTTTGGGGGGTGGGGATGGGGGGGTCAGGGGTTAATTAGAAAAAGCAAAAAAAAAATATAAACTGGCCCTAGGCCCGGCCCGGACCCGCTGGCAACCCGGGCCGGTCCCGGGCCTTCCCCCAACCACAAAAGGCCCGATCGGGCCTAGGCCCAGCCCGGTCCCGACCCGGCCCGGCTCCATGCCTAGGCTGGTATAGCCCGCATTCCCCATCCCCGCCCTATTCTTAATAAAATATGTGCATTCCAAATACAAAGTATTATTATTTATTAATCAATCTGATGATTCACACTAGGGGTGGGATCAAACTGATCAGTCCGTTTTGGGTCGGGTTTTTGCTAAACCTAGAAATTACCCGTAAAGTCTCGGCTATTGAAAATTAGTAACCGGAACAAAACCCACTGTATTATGTCCGAGTAGGGTTTTTGGCAGCCCGGGTTCGGGTTGATTCGGTTAAAGCCCATGTGAAATCATCTAATTTTTCTTTTATATTTTAAAACCCATGTTCGAACAAAATTAATAAAAAAAATACAAAGTGCAAATAATAACACAAATATTAGCCTCCCAAATCACCAACAATTGAAATCCAAAAAAGACAATTATCTTAATATTTTATTTAAGATGCATATAAATAATATAGATTTTCCAAAAATAATACTAGTACTAAATAAAATTTATGGATAAAACTGTGACTAAAATTCATATAAATATATTTTCATGATCATTACGATATACAAAATTGTTACAGTTATACTATTGATTTTATATTACAGTTAATTGTTTCTCGTTTTTATCGGCTCGAGCCGGATCATAGATTTTAGAGCCCGAATATTCGGGTTTGGTCCAAATATTTATTATTTAGGCAACTTAAAAAGAATACCCCCGGAACGGAAACATCATTCGGGCCGGGGCCGAGTCGGTTTTCGGATTTCGGTCCGGTTTTCCACTTTTCCCACCCCTAATTCACACATTATATTCTTATTTCAAATACAAATTACGCGGTATCATTTTGGTCGTACAAATATTTCTCTTGAGAGTTGGGAAATAGGATACTACCTTATTGTCTTGTATTTGAACTAGGGAACTTACAAAACCTAACTCTATATAAGTTAGGTAAAACTCAACATAAGCTGCCTCAACCCTGCGACCACTTTGCCTCAATATATAGAGTACGCATAGCCAGGGACGGATCCAGGATTTCTATTCAAGGGGGGCGAAATTTTTCGGTAGTGTAGGGGGTGAAAAAAATTTCGTTAGTGTAGTGGGGCGAAATTTTTCCCCTAGTGTAGCGGGGCGAATTTTTTCCGCTACTGTAGGGCTATGCGGCTAATTTTATTAAAAAAATGACATTAATACATACACATCCCCAACGACATTTAAATATATTAAGTTGTACATTCTAAGTTTAAATTAGACGATGACAAAGACATCAACCAATACATTTTTAATAACTTCTACATTGTTTAACCTCATGAATCGGTTATTATTGATTAGTAATTTTTGTCCGGCGACCAAGGAGGGTGTTCGTGAGTCATGACTCATGAGAAATTTTCTTAATATTACAATAGTAGTATGTATGATATTATTATTTTTAGAATAGTATGCACCACACACACACATATATTGTTCATATTATATTTTAATATTTGTATTAATGCTATAATAATTTAAAGTTTATTATCTATGCAATAAATTATTTTTAGAAAGCAAGAAGTAAATGAATTATGTAATTTAATGTCAATAAACATTTATATTTTGGATTCATTTCACGTGATCTAAAAACTGTGTAATTAGTGTGTCTGATATTTAATATTGTTTGATATATATTTTACAAAATCAAGTACTTGTTATCTAATAAAAATAATTAAACATTACAAAACTAGGAATTCTTATATAATAAGTATCCTAAATCTTAAACAACGAGTTATTCTATTGTTTTTTTGTTTAAGTTATGTAATTATTTAGATGTTCCTTCTTTTAAATCTTCAATTAAGTACTACATTATGTAACACTATATATTACTTTTGAAAATTAAAAGCTAAAGGGGGCGAATCTAATTAAATTATGAAAGTTTTATGAAAATATTACATATATGGTAGAAAGTTTTGAAAGTCCAAGGGGGGCGGTCGCCCCCCGCGCCCCCCCCTAAATCCATCCCTGCGCACAGCTCAGAGAGAAGGGTGCAATGAAAATATATTATCAGACCTGCATACATTGAGTAAGAGGCACCATTGTTAACTTCATCAAGGCATATAGAAGAGGAGTCAGACCTCCTTATAGAAACGCCAAGGATTTGTTTAGCAAATAACTACTCGTAGTTTTTTTATCATTAGTGTAAGATTTCATGTGATTGGTGTTTAGCAAATTATCTGTGTTTAACCAATTGACGATCCCTATTAGTAGACACATATCAACC